GCTGAAAACTTGCTCCCAGTTGACCCCCTGAACACGAATATCACATCCGCTCAACCCGAAACCTCCTGGCGCCCGCACCACGGGCACCGGCGCCAAAATACCCCAAATCATTGGCGCCTGTGGCGCGGGCGCCAGGAAGTTTCGGGCTGAGCGAATGTGATATTCGTATTCTGGAGGTCAAACTACCCAACATTTGAGCAAAATCTGCCCACGGAGAAAAAAGTCGGTCAGGAACTGGCCTGATTTCGGATGACTGGGGCAGTAAAGGGTAAATAGTGCCTTTCATCTGCTTTTTAGGATGAGAAAGAGCAAGTGATGCACACAAACGTATGGCTCACACTGGTAAGTTGAGTTTTCCGGTTGGTATTTGAGATTTCCATTAATCATGAAGATCAGTTTTTTATGTGATTCTTCACTTCTTTGTTCATATAAAATTTGACGTTGTTCGGCTTGGGAGGGATGATTTGCACACTCGCTAGTTCGTTTTGCTAGTTCCTGTCAAATTACGCGTCACAGCTAGGTAGCCTTGTAGACAGGGCACGCAATCTCGTTGTGACCCCCTAATTCCAAGGTGTTACGACCACCCTATACATGCTACCTACCACTTTCCTAGATTTTCCCAACTTCCCACCACTTTTTCCATTTTTTCAAAAATTTCCAGTTTTTCAGCCAAGAATTTTCCGTCGAGCGGGAGAGGGGTATATACCCACTGTGAAACAGGGAAATTCTCAGATTTCCCTCAATATTCCGAAATTTCCCGGAAAATTTTTTGTTTTTCCCAAAAATTTTGCTGTCAAGCGGGTACGGGGGATCGTCAGGATTTAACATCACTGGCAATCCCTCTCCCAACAACGACCAAATACGACCCCCCTCCCTCGCGGTCAAATACGACCCCCGTTGTGATCATCACAACGATGGCGTGCCCTGCTTGTAAACCCTTGTCAAGATTGAACGGAGCTACTGCTACTGCATAGCTTCTCAAGAGCTCACACTTTCCACAGGAGGCATCGGCAGCGATTGACGGGAACCAGCAAAATGCCTTCCCCAAGGCCCTCCCAAAAATCCGTAGATTATTTTTTCACGACTCATTACATCTCTATTTATTGTTTCAATTTTGTCCCCGCCCACGTAGGCTTCTTCTCAGAAATGGAAGTGTTTGTCCAAGCCGCTGCTTACATTTACCCGGGATCAAGTAGCAGCCTGATGTCGTGCTGGGGCTTGGAATCCTTTCGTACAACGAGCACCCACTCTTCGCTCTGTAACAGTTACCAATTTTTGTTTTCAGATGGTGGCGCGATTTTTCAATTTTGCCGATGGGTACGAAGGATACGGGACGCGAATCACTCAGATTCGTTAGCGCCCGACAAAAATCTTGGTTGCCGGACAATGTTTATTACAACAAGTGAGTTGACCATGGTATCGCTGTACTTTGTCCATAAAAGGATAAAGGATAAAAGTGTTCGCCGGTTGGTCAATTCCGCTTTGCGGGATTGCGGTTACGCATTTCTACCTCCATTCAGAATCGTAGGGGCTTTATGCAATAGCCATGTGGCCAATATAATGAGTTGCGGGCCGTCAGCCCGCATACCACAAATCAGTGTTGTTATCCTCCCAGACGAAACCCAGCTTCCAAGTTTACCCATCCCCGGAGCTTAGAAGCCGTGGTGGCCTTGGCAGGAGTCGACCCTGCGATTCTCGAGGCCGAGACCACGCACAGTGGTAAGCGCCGCCATTTCTCGGCTGCATCACCTCCGCCTCGTAGTTATTCATATGCTATCCTATCCCTAATACCAACATATCTGGGCCTGAGGCTGTTGACCACCTGAACTGGGGCAATACGGTTCTTTTAAAGTCCGGCAATCAGAATGTGTAATGGGTGGAATATTGAACTCTAGCCGGGACAGCTTTCGGTGGCACGTGCTACCACTAAGTCTAGGACGAGCCTAGGAAATTCAGGGCAAAGTCAAATGAGGGTTAACCTCAGCTGTGCTAGCTACAGATGTGGAGGTGATACTTCAATACATCCTGGGTGCAGTTTGTTATCTAGATCTGAAAATGGGAACCAATAGGATGGGTCTTGGATGTCAAAAAATCTCTTCGGAACAGTTTGGGACCATTGATTTAATGATGTCGTCGTCAGATCGATTCGAAACCTCAGAGGCACTATGGACTGCTGGCGTGGTCCGGCGCGTCGGCCAAACGTCATTGTGTGGAAAGGGGCCTGAATGGAGATATGTGCCAAACGCCCCTTTTACGCCTTTGTACCCGTGACGCTGGCAACAACCGCTCATCTTTAGCATTCGTGTCCACTGCCCTTGACAGTACCAGTAGCAATCGCTTACATCTTGCGCTTTCAGTGCCGATGGTAATTACGAAGTTTCGTTCATGTGTAACGCCCTTGTTCATCATTCTGGTGAAGTACTTTGGGTACCGCCGGCTATCTATAAAAGCAGTTGTATTATTGGTACGTTTCTCACTGCTCAATTAGTTGGTCACCTGCTGAAAAGCACTGACATGACAGTAGCATGGGCTGTGCAGTACACTGAAAGAACAGCAGAAACCATATATGTAGTAATTTGTTGCGGAGCTGGCACGTTTTAGGGGGCTGGGTTTGGGGCGGCGCTAACCCATTCACCAATTGTTGAAGCGAGCAACAGACAACAATTGGTAGAAAATGGACTGGGGCCGTACCAAATCCAGCCCTGTGACATGTCCCAGCATCCGCAGCGAAGAGGTTTGTAGATTCCCGGAAAATCAAAGTCACCCACCGTGTATTCCCATTATGTAAATGCTGGGTAATGGTGAAATTACTTGGGAGGTTAATGCGATGAATGTTCACTGGCTTTCTCTATTATAAGGCAGTGTAAGAAGAAAAAACAAGGGGAGATGACAAGATAGTCGTAATTTGTCGCATCGCAGCGTGCGGCATCCACAGGACACATCGCTGTTGGGAATTCCCCAACAAGGGTCGTACTCGGCCGCTGGGGAAGGGGGGGGGTCGTATTTGGGCTGGGAAAAAACTTTTTTCATGTTTGATTTTTATTGTTCAGGAGACTTTGTAAATGGATTGGTCGTATTCGCTCGTTGATGAAAGGGGGGGGGAGGGGTGTCGCATTTCTCTTCTGGCCCTCTGAGAGTTGCTAAGCTTTCGTGGGTTTTTTTCAGTTTCATGTGTACTAGTGTACTATATACCCTCTCCCCCCCCCGTTCCCCGCTCGACAACAAAACTTTTGGATAAAAGTGAAAACATTGGGAAGTCCCAGAAGAAAATGGTGGGAAAGTGAGAAACTAGCCAGTGGTGGTCGCATTTTCCTCGCGGTACCCTCCTGCTGGAGAGCTCCATGAGGAGGGAAGCAGGAGGGGAGAGGGAATCGTGCCAACCCCCTAAAAAAAGAGGGGGATCGTACGGACTCGACCAAAATCCCCAACTAACGATGTGCCCTGATCGAGCGGCCGTGCGAATCAAATCAATCATCAACCATGTGCAGTTTGTCGATAACAGCAACGAAACCCATACGAATTCAAGCAAAGACGGGGCACCATGACGAGCGATATCAAGTTTTCCATCCCTCTGTCACTCATATCCAAACGACCATGCAGGAAAATTCGTCCGTAGCTCGCGGAGTCACTCGCCGCACCCGGCATATCACGACTATCTTGTCACATTCCCAAGAAGTGGTCCTTCTCGAAAAATGAATATTTTCATATATGCTCCCCTCTGTGAGGCAACAATCTTCATTTTCAGATGTTGAATTCTTTCCGTTTGATGACCAGCGATGCAGTCTAACATTTGGCAGTTGGACGGTACGTTCTATTATACTCTCATTAAAGACACATAGGTACGCTCACACACATTGAGGGTGTATGAGACTATCAGCCCCCCAGCTGTCGATGTGTCGTGGTCCCCCCGCCCAAACATGCCCAGGAATGGAGATACAGGACCGTGAAACACGCTAATTCCTCCATGCTCCGCCTTACACCTTTTTGCGGCGCAGATTCCCGTCCTTCATAACATCAAGCGCGCGTGTCGCGTGCGGCTCCTTGGCACTTTGCCAAGTCCTTTAATTGCGCTCTCAAATACGAGTAAAACGCAATTTCCTGATGCGGATAACATTGGAGGTGCTGCAAAATAAGAACAGAAGATGATGACGAGGGTCAGAACTTAAAAGCAACTGTGCCACTTCTGCAACATCCCTCGGAGGCCGCTAT